CCTGCTCCCCTGCCCGGAGGCTGGAGGCTGGCTGCTGCACTGGAACCTGGGGCGATGAGTGGCTTATCTCCCCTCTTCCCCCGCCCCATAAATATACCCCTGGCACAGAAAAGTCTTGTATACACCGCGGGTTATATTCGTGCATGGGGTATACAAGATTTTTTTTACACAAATGGAAAAAACCACAGGGTATATTCGGGTGCAGGGTATATTTGCTAAATTACGGTGTGTGTGTGTGTGTGTGTGTGTGTGTGTGTGTATATAAATAAAAAAAATAAATACCCACCTTATAATACCTCCTGATAGTATTATATCCGATAATCCGGCACCACTTAGGTCCCAAAGGTTCCAGATTATTAGAAGTCTACTGTAAATTATTATTTTCTAAGATTTTCATAATACGATGAAATCAAAAGAAAACAGTCTGGTTATGACAGTGTTCAAACTTGAAGTTGTCAAATATGCAGAAGCAAACAGTAATTGTGTTACTGCTCATGAATTCTGTATCAATAAAAAGCAGGTAAGAGAGAGGCAAAAAAAACCAAAAAAAACAATGCTATAAAAGACAGGCTAAGAAGGAAGAAAAATGTCCGATAACTCACTTCGTTTCCTGACTTGGACAAAGATCTCAATGATTGGGTTGTTGAATGTCAACCAAAAGGGCATGTTGTCCCTAGAACTGGAATTCCTCTGCATGCTCTGCAAATGTTGAAAGACAATAGACACAACTCAGAAAACTGTCAGTATTTGGTGCACTCACTTCATGAACCATATTGCTCTCTGTCTTTGTCAGTGACACCTTGAAGAAAATTTTGACCTTTCTAAAGGTTTATTATACATCAAAAGGAATATTCATTTGAACTGTCGCAAATAGGAAATACGGACAAAACACTGAGGCTGGATCACCCGAGCAAACCCGTGGTATTGGGTCATCGACTTACAATACCTATGCGGAACTCTCTTCAGTGCCACAGCCCTTCTTAGAGGTCCATTCTCAGGAATTAAGCCCCTCTGCCTCCCAAGACTGCATCTCTCTGCACCTTCAGTAAGCTTTTTTCTTGTCGTGGGCCACCTCAGGAAGTCCATTTGCTTTTTGACTCACAGAGGGAATAATGCAACAGTGTTCTCTAGACTGCTGCTGAAACAAAAAACAGGACTGTGTAGCACTTTAAAGACTAACAAGATGGTTTAATAGGTGTTGAGCTTTTGTGGGCCAGACCTACTTCCTCAGATCAAATAGTCTGTTTCAGCTGCACCAGACTAACACGGCTACATTTCTACCTCTAGACTGCAGTGAGTCTCAGCCAGTGTAAAACATGAGGGTTTGAGGATGTGAACACAACACAGGAACTCTCAAGGCCCCCAGGCCTGGCCTCCCTCAGCACAGCATGTCTTAGGTCTTTCCTGCATCCAGGTGGGCTCTGCCTGTGCTCCCTAGTTCAAGCCCCCTCCTTTCTGCTGAGTCTCCGATATCCCTTCCCCAACTGCCCTTCCCCTGGCCTTTGTCTTTTGTCCAGATAAACAGCATCACTTGGACCCCTGTGTTCTCCATCTCTCCTTTCACCTCTTCACTGGAACCAGCTAGTCAGGTCACCAACATCTTCTCTCTACAGCTCATTGTCTTCCCACTGGCCAGAACTGGTTGTGTTGTCCAAGCTGGACCTTGAGGTCTCCAGTGGGTCTGGTCTCCATTAGGGAAGCTATTTAATTACTTAAAACAGTAACACCTGGGGCACTGAATCCCATCCCCTTGGCATGCAAACACTTGGAAAACCAAGTAAATCCCCCCACTTTGTCACATGATGAAAAAAATTTAATAAAACCACTGTCCATGAAAAAATCCATTTTATGATGGCTTTGTCGTATTTGGCCAATGGATCAAAACTCTGTCCTGTAAGAAAACCTTGCCTAAAACCATGATGTTTTCTGCTAGTATCCTCCTATGGGAAAGGGATGGATGGATGGATGGATGAAGGTGGAGCTGTTGAATATCGAAAAGAGACCAGGCGCACCTCTTAAGAAACCTGCTATGCTCATTTGAGTGCACAAGATGGATGAGGTGAAACATGGCCAAAAAAATGAAACTACTTTGGCTGTAATACCTGCAGTCTTAACTTCTGTTCTACAGCCACTTGATGTCTGCCTGAACAAACCCTTTAAAGACAGGCTATGCTAAATGTCTGAATGGATGTGCTCAGGTATGGCAGAATTGACAAAAGGCAGGAAACTTATGAAGCCCGAAATCTGTCTAGTCCGCCCAGTGGATCGTGGATGCGTGGCAGTTCAGTTTCCTTTGAAATGATAGAAAAATGGAAATGCTGTATCGGCTGTGCGGCCAATAGGTCACAAGGTGGTGCTGTATTTTATGATGTCACAGTGGACTATGTGAATACATATTTGTTCAATTATAACGAGTTCTAGCAAAATGTTTGGATGTTGCTTGTGATGCCAACTTCTAAAATATGGGAAGGGTCGGTAAACTTTGGCTCCTGACCTATCAGGGTAAGCTACTGGTGGGCCAGGACATTTTGTTTACTGGGTGCATCCACATGGAGCCCACTATTCCCAGTCACTGCAGTTTGGCTTTAGTTAGCCTAAATATTTTCTGTACATTACAAGTCAAATATTTCATTAGTATTGAAGTGTGTATTTCTGGTTTTCTTAGACTGATACAGTGATTTTATAACAAGAGTGAAAGAATCAACATAATTGGTGTTTTATGTCAACTTTGCAGCTAAGGAATATATTACACCATTCATTAGACCTGTAATGCAAGCTCTGCTTCATATTATAAGAGAGACTGAAAATGATGATCTTACCAATGTGATTCAGAAAATGATCTGTGAATATAGTGAAGAGGTTACTCCAATTGCAGTAGAAATGACCCAGCACTTGGTAAGTCTGTTAAAGTGAAGGGATTTTTTTTCCTTAGATACACGATAGTTTGTCATTTGCCCTTCAGCACCCCCACAACATTCTCAAGGCAGGCTGGGCTTCCTGCCTGCTACAGCCTCAGATGGCTTAAAAATGCAGG